AAAATTTCAAAAGTTCGTTCGTCGGACAAGGGGACTGCTCCCTCCAATAAACAGTCAAAGAAGGATCAAGCTGAAGAGATGTGAGGAGAAACCTTGTGATTGATATCCCGATACTGATCCGTTACAGTGAATCCATGCAAAATGACCGCTCGCTGTACAAGCTCATTCATACCAAACTCTTGTCCGCATCATTAGACGGCCCTTCTGAGGGAGATGGAGCTAAACGGAAAAAGTCACTAGAAGGAAGAGTACTCGAGTTGAGCAAAAATGCCAAACTAGGGAAAGGAGAGACCGATGTACGGCGAGCCGAACATAACAAGGCGCCCAGGCATATTCGAGAAGGCATCGTCGCAAAACAAAAGGAAAAGCGGGAAAAGCAGCTCCAGGAGGTTCGTTATGCGAGTAACACTTGTGATTGTTCTCTGATCCCGTGCCAGGCTAAAGATTTAGGCAACTATCACCCAACGATCAAGCGGTTGCTATCGGATCCAGACAAGGTATCAAGACCCAAGAAACGGGAGAGAGGGTTGGGAATGGGGATTGGCTCGTTCCGAGGAGGTGTCCTGACTCTCGGAAAGCAAGACATCCAAAGGGGACAGGGTACCCCTTCATTCAAGTCAAAAGGTGGAGGTAAACGTTCTTCTCGACGATAAAGCCTCCAAATCGGGCTTGTCAAAGGTGGCGTGAAGCCTATTTGTCTTCGCGGCGCATTCACCCGAGCAGAATGTTCTGGACGCGGAGAATGCCAAGGAATAAAGTATGGTTCAAGTTTTACTCAATGATGGGCTGATAGGACCACGAGATAAAGGATCGGGAGGAGACGGTAGACCTCACCCTGTCTCTTCCATTCACTCCCTCCCTCAAAACCGTCCCTGCACCCGTTTATCTACATACTGGGAGATACACAGTCATACATGCCGTGGGTTATGCGCTCCCTCTTTTGGAACAATGGCCGCTAATTGGAAATGGTGTTGAACATAACGATGTGAAATGCTCGACCACCCGCCAGTTACTGCGCTGGTATTCGTTCCCCTGATATGATTTCAGAGATTATGCCATGACCAACCTGTATATTATTGATATCTTACACAGCCTGATTCCTCAGAGCCATCTTATCGGAAACCAACGTGAAGTATTGCCTCGCATTTAATCATCATAATCGTGAGGTATATTAGGGTGGATTAGGTCTTTGGTATTATATGACAACAGGAGTATCTTAACGGCGTGCAACTAGCAGGCTAGAGCTACAAGGTTACGATCACAGCCGGCGACATGAGTTTACTCAGCTACAGGTAACCTCCTGAAGGAGGCTGTGGACAGTTCTCGAATTTCGGGGCACCTTCACCGGGTGATGGAGTCGCAGCTAACTGTGTCACAATTTGAGATCACGGTTCATGTATTATTGGAGAGTGCCTTACCTTTATTGTCTGTGCAGTAGTATAGAACGCAGCGGCAGTTCCAAATCCGATCATGAGGTAATCCAGGATTATTTGCCTGTTCGTCCGTGCGCAAGCTTTGAGATGGAGCATTGCCGGATAGACAAAACAGAGAGGAACGCTATAGTAAGAATTAGTATTTGTTCCCTAATTCCCCAATAGGTTACGATGAATCGAGAAAAGTGTACTTGCCATGCAAAACTTCCGACAAAGGCAACGAATTTGTCCAGGTCGCTGGCTCCGAACCAGCTGACAAAATACGTTGCTATAACTAGACACAAGCGGAAGAAATTCTTCTGCCACTTGACTAGCACGCTCACTTTCCCACTTTTTGTGAATAGCCAGTTCTCCATAATTCGCAAGGCTGGGAAGAGCTGAAGTGGAGCCGACAGCAGGATCGCAAGTGAGTACAGGAACTGTACCGCCTGTACAAACTTGTGGTCCTGAGGGAGGTTCTTAATGACTACAGTCTGGATATCTGAACCATAAGCCGCGTAAGAGAGCACGCCAGCTCCTCCAAACAAGACTAAGTGGCACGATAGTTAGTATTGTTCATGTCACCCGACCCGCCGGAGAGAACTCACAGATGAGGAAGAACATGACTCCGGTGAGAACAGCAGGGAACTTGTGGGGTTCCCGCATCGCGTCCGTGATTGGAATGACGAGCCCGACACCCTCAAAAGAGAAGACGGCGGTTCTAGAGAAGTAAACTAAGGTGAGGTGGCAATAAATCGGAACAGATTCACATACCCAATGAGTAGAGGAAAATCTTTCTCATTAAACCATTTAACCGGGGCGACACCTCGTTCCATAATAACGATTACTTCGTTCCATCCGATGTATACAATACCAATCAAGATGAAGACGTCTGCTATGAGAGCAGTAAGACTTAGTTTTGCCAAGTTTCGTATCAACGCAAGTGGAAGGAAAATGACTAGTTGAGAGAAGATCAGGACTGGCACAGGGATAAGTGTCTTGCATTTCGTAACCGCCATCACGAATGCCTAGAGAGGAAGAGTAAGATCAAGAAGAATATGGATAATACTGCTAAATGTATACCTGTAGATTCTCTGCCACAAAGATGGTATAAGCCGAAACAAACCCAAGTTGCGACACCACAATTGAGGTTAGGATAGCACGTCGCATCCATTTCCCATAGAGGGCCCCTCCAATATCTACAAAAATGAGAGATCATGAGAATAATATCG